TTATTAAATTATTTTCAGGAAGAGAAAATGGCAGAGTCATTAAACAACTTTCTTTTAAATAGAAAAGAAAAATAATTAATAAAGTCAAACTTTATTAGCTGAACAATGTGAAAAAATAAACTCAAAAGAATAAACAGAAAAGAAGAAAATAGAGACTCGAATCTGTAAATGGATAAGCAAGGATGGAAGGGTCAAATGCACCGTACCAAGAAGAAATAAATAAGAAAAGCAAACTGGAACATTTTGTTATTTACCAATCTTACTGCTAGTTACTTTTTTAAAGATTTACTTTTACTCCTTTCTTTTAAATATCAGTTAGTTAGTTAACATAGATTAATTAATTGTTTTTCTTTCTTCATTCCTTGATTAGTTACAGGGGTTGTATATAAACTCACTATACCTTGGTTTTTCTAAGATGAGAAATATATCTGACATTCTTCCATATTGCCTGACGCTCTGTGCCGCTTGCCTCATCATTTTTGTCATGGTATCAAAGTAGGTTGAGAGTTTCTGCAGGGGTTAGTCATAGCTAGCTCACAAAGGTTGCTGCATTTTATTTCCTTTCTGCCTTGTTTCATTTGTAAGTTTCTCTTGGGATCTATTTCTTACTATTTGTTTAGGAGATTCTCCTTTGCATTAAATCAAACAGTTTTAGGGTCATTCACTAGTAGATCTAGAACTTGATGGCTGAGTTTACAGAGTCAACTAAGTTGAGGGCTCAAGCCTCAACAACTGCTGTTGCAAGGAAGCAGATATCCCTAACCTCAGATCCCCAATCACCCTACTATCTGCATCATACAGACCAACCTAGTTTAGTGGTAATTAATCCCAAATTGACCATAAACAACTACATAGCCTAGAGCAGATCATTCCTTTTAGCCATGTCAATTAGAAACAAACTTGGATTTATTAATGGTACACTGCCAAAACCAACTATAACAGATCCTCTGTATCAACCTTGGACATGGTGCAACAACCTTATAGTGGCTTGGCTCTTAGATTCACTCACTCAACCAATTGCATCAACAGTGTTTTACATGGAATCAGCTGCTGATATATGGAGCACTTTGAAACAAAATTTTGCACAACCCGATGACACAAGGGTGTGCAATCTACAATATACACTAGGGAACATCACACAAGGAACCAGATTGGTAGAGTCTTATTTCATTGAGTTGAAGGGCATATGGGAAGAATTAAGGAATTTTAGACCACGCCCACACTGTGAATGTGGAAGATGCAATGCTGATTGTTTCAAGAGGTACACAGATCAATATCAGAAAGATATGATCTTCAGATTTTTAAATGGGTTGAATGAGTCATTTTCAGGAGTTAGGTCACAAATAATACTTATGGATCCAATCCCAACATTGGATAAGGTATACAGCTTGGTGCTTAGGGAGGGAGCTCAGAGAAACCCTATGTTTCAATCACAGCCAGTGCCGGAATCTGGTGCTATGTTCACTTCAGCAGATGGAAAGAAGAAAGTGAGGAAAGATGTGATCTGCAGCCATTGTGGAAAAAGAGGACATGTGAAAGAAAAATGCTATAAGATTGTGGGATTCCCGGAAGACTTTAAGTTCACTAAAGGGAAGAACAATTTCAGGAAAAGAAAGGCAGCAGCTAACAGTGTATCAGTTGGAAGAGATAATCATGTCGTAGAGAATCAATCTGATCAGGAGGAGGAGTCAGTTGGAACTGGATCAATGTCCCAATTATCTATCCTTAAGCAACAAGTCAACAGATTAATGGAAATCTTGAATGAAAATGGTATGACAAGCATTGATGCTAAGAGCACTACACCAAGTAATCAACAGACAAAACACTCCCTTGTTAATTCAACTTTCGCAGGTATTACCTCAAACCATCCTTGTTTTAGTACCTCTAATAGCATGCCATCCAAAAACAACCATACAAATGTTCTCATGGTAAAACAAAATTCTTGGATAATTGACTCAGGTGCAACAGATCATATTTCTTGCTCATTGAGTAATTTTGTTTCAATCAAACAGGTTAGCAATTGTTTTGTTCAATTACCAAACAATAGAAGGGCTTTAGTCACTCACATAGGAACTGTCAGATTAACCCCTCTACTGACATTAGAGAATGTCTTTTGTGTACCTAATTTTAAATTTAACTTGATATCAGTAAGTGAACTTACAAAATCCAAGAAAACTTGCATTTTTTTCAGTGACAGCCACTGTGTTATCTAGGATATAGCCACATGGAGGGTGACTGGGGTTGCTAGGTTGTCTTCTAGACTTTTTCTGATGCAAGACAAGGATGAACAAGAGTTACATCAGTTTACATTTGAAAAACTTGTTAAATTTCCTTTTGTTTTATTTGTCAATTCCTCTAAGTCATGGTGCAAGAACTTTGATCTCTGGCATTTTAGGCTGGGGCATGCACCTTTGGAAAGAATTTATGTACTGAACCAAGCTTTTCCAAATATTAAATGTAGAAATGATTTGCTATGTGAAGTATGTCCTCTTGCTAAGCAAAAGAAACTTGTTTTCCTAATGCATATGCAAAGTACAAAATCACCTTTTGAATTAATTCATACAAATATTTGGGGACCTTATGAAGTCCCAACCCTTTTTGGACAAAGATACTTCCACACCATAGTAGATGATTTTTCACGTCTTACTTGGATATTTTTAATGAAAGGAAAGTTTGAGGTTGCTTCAATCATTCAATCCTTCAATGATTTCGTTCAAAAATAGTTCAATTCTTCAATTAAGTGCATAAGGTCAGATAATGGAAAGGAATTTGAACTCGTTGATTTTTATGCAAAAAATGAGATAATTCATCACTTGTCCTGTGTTGACACTCCAAAGCAGAATGGAGTAGTGGAAAGGAAGCACTAGCATATTTTGGTAGTAACTAGGGCCCTCATGCACCAATCAAAACTTCCAATGCATTTTTTGGGTGATGCAGTGTTAACTGCCATACGTATAATCAATAGGGTGCCAACCAAAGTCCTAAAGAATAAATCACCATATGAAGTGCTTTACCTAAAACAACCAAGTTTTGATTATTTCAGGGTTTTTGAGTGTTTATGTTTTGTGTCAACATTGCCACACAGTAGAAAGAAGTTTGATAGCAGGGCAAATAAATGTATTTTTATAGGGTATCCAAATTACATCAAAGGGTAAAAAGTTTATGATCTTGATGCACAAAAGGTTAAAGTATCTAGAAATATTATTTTCCATGAGAATGTATTCCTATTCAAGGACTTACATCATGATACACAATATTCTGAATTTTGTCAAACACCTGATGTGTATGCTAGTCATATTTATAATTTTGACTTTGACCAATCCAATTTCCCTAATCATGAATTCATAGCTGCCGAGTTACCTGAAAATGAGCCCTCATCATGTCCAGAACATGTTTCCATACCAATTCAAAATGGAAATTCACATGATTCAGTACTTGTGAATGATATGCAGCTTTAGGAAACATAAACAAAAAATGCCATTAATCATTTTAATCCTGTTCAGCCACGTAGGAAGAGTTCTAGACACAAATAGGCTCCTAAATACTTAGATGCTTACTACACAGAATTACCATCACAATCAAATTCTGTCACTATGCAGCCCATATCTGACTATTTATCCTATCACCGCCTTTGACCAGAACATAAAGCCTTTGTCATATCCTTATCAAACATTCATGAACCAAGTTCTTACCAAGATGCAGTTAATCATTCTCATTGGAAATAAGCAATGAATGTTGCACTTAAGGCTTTGAAAGATAATAAGACATGGAGTATAGTTCCATTGCCTCCAAATTCGCATGCAATTAGATGTAAGTGTGTGTAGAAAGTTAAATTGAAGGCAAATGGAGACATAGAAAGATATAAGGCCAGGTTGGTAGCAAAAGGCTACAACCAAATTGAAGTCTTTGACTATCAAGACACCTTTAGCCTAGTAGCCAAGCAGACATCAATAAGAGTCTTCTTTGCTGTTGCAGCAATGTGTAACTGGACATTATCTCAGCTTGATGTCAATAATGCATTCTTAAATGGGGACCTAGAAGAAGAAGTATACATGGAGTTGCCATAGGGATATGACATAAAGGGGGAGTATCCAGCTGAATGTAAAATGGTTTGTAAACTCCACAAGTCCCTATATGGGTTGAAGCAGGCATCCAGACAGTGGAATGCCAAACTTACAGCTTCTATTTTAAGGTATGGCTTTAAACAATCCATGTCAGATTACTCATTATATACAATGAAAAAGGAAGATGGAAGTTTTACTGCTCTATTAGTTTATGTTGATGACATCATAGTTGGGAGCACATCCATTAAGGCATCGGATGATGTAAAAGGGTATCTAAAGTCACAGTTCAAGATAAAGGATCTAAGAAATGTTAAATATTTCTTAGGCCTTGAGATTGATCAGTCAACTAAAGGAATATCCATTTGCCAAAGAAAGTATGTACTGGATGTCTTAGAAAATCAAGGATTGCTTAGATGCAAACCAATGTCAACACCTATTGACTACAATCACAAGTTGAGTAAGGCTGAAGAAGAGGAGCAATTAACTAATCCCACAAGTTATAGACAGCTAATTGGGAAACTTCTATATTTGACATTTACCAGACCAGAGATCTCTTATGCAGTTCAAGTCCTTTCACAGTTCATGGACAAACCAGGGAGACAACACCTCATTGCAGCACACAGGGTATTGAAGTATCAGAAAGGGTCACCAGGCCAAGGAATCTTAATGAAGGTAGGAACAAAGCCAATAATCTCAGCATACTCAGATAGTGACTGGGCAAGATGCCTAGAAACTCGAAGATCAATAACAGGATATTGCATACTTGTTGGGGAATCATTGATAAGTTGGAAATCAAAAAAGCAGCAGGTGGTGGCTAGAAGTTCAACAGAAGTTGAATATAGATCGATAGCAACTACATGTTATGAAGGGATCTGGTTAAAATTCTTACTTACAGACCTTGATGCCAAACATGATGAATCAGTAAACCTCTATTGTGACAACCAATCGACATTGAATATCTACAACCAATTCAGTGTTCCATGAATGAACGAAACATATACAGATGGATTGCCATTTCATTCGGGAGAAGGTTTTGATTGGAGTTATCAAGTCAGTATACATCTCAACCAAATTCCAACTTGCAGATTTATTCACTAAAGCACTACAACCAAAACAATTTAACAGCTTGATGAGCAAGATGAATGTAATCAATGATCACAATCCATCTTGAAGGGGAGTATTAGTTGAACAATGTGAAAAACTAAACTCAAGAGAATAAACAGAAAAGAAGAAGACAGAGATTCGAATCTACAAATGGATGAGCAAGGATGGAAAGGTCAAACGCACAGTACCAAGAAGAAATAAATAAGAAAAGGCAAGTGGAACGTTTTGTTATTTACCAGTCTTATTGCTAGTTACTTTTTTAAAGATTTACTTTTACTCCTTTCTTTTAAATATCAATTAGTTAGTTAATATAGATTAATTAATTGTTTTTCTTTCTTCATTCCCTGATTAGTTACAGGGATTGTATATAAACTCACTGTACCCTGGTTTTTCTAAGATGAGAAATATATCTGACATTCTTCCATATTGCCTGACTCTCTGCGCCGCCTGCCTCATCATTTTTGTCAAACTTGTCATCATTATAAAAAAAAAAAAGAGAAAGCATAATCACAGTATTTGCCCTACTTGTTTCCTTCATGCAAGTAAAGTATTTGTTGTATAATTAAAGAAAAAAGGTCATTGCTATATAACATTATTTTATTTAGAAGGCAATCTTTTATTTTTGTAGAATAATACTACTTTCCTAATGGTGTATTAATAT